ACATGGATGAATGTAGAGCTGCTCAATCGAAATAAAAACCGTTGGCGTAGACAATAATCAAAACTCATCGTTTTCTTGCCAATATAACTTAATTGGAATACATTCATGAGATATATAGTTGTTCTGATGTCAGTATAATGTATTAAAGAGCATAGAAATTCGTAGAATGTGGATAATATAATTGCAATCAAACCAGATATTTAGACCTTATTATACGATTATCAAGTTCAAAGCGGAGTTAAGAGTCATGGTAAAAGGTGATACAAGAAAAAGTCAGATTAATTTACTAAACACAATTAATAACCAAAGTTACGCGCGTTTAATAAAAAGATACTCTAAGATGGACAATGCAGCAAGATTAGTGAGTACAACCAAACAAACTAGAAAATAAACGCTCACCTTTGGCCGAATGTTGTATCTCATGCCTCCTTTCTGATCTCTTATTGCCACGGACAAAGAGAGCCATAAATGCCGGGTCACCACACAAAATATTGGCATGATAAACGCATCGCAGGGGATAAAAGGCATTCCGGTTAGAGCCATATATAGTCACCCTAAGTCCTGCCTTGGAAGCTTGAATCAAACACGGAGTGTTTACAGACAAAAACTGACCCTGATCCTCCTCAGAATTGACTTTTATATTATTTTTTAGGTTAACCAACTGATTATAAAAAATCTTAGAACGAGAAATATGGCACAAATCGACATCTGAGTAGGAGTATTTCAAGGTACCAACGAACATAACAACCGCAATTTGGTTCGCATGCAAAGGAACAGGAGGATTTTGTAGGGTGTCATTAATGCTGGGAAAGATTTCAGAAGTGTCAAGTCTTGACGGTGATAAAATAGTATCTGGTACGCGGAGACCAGCTGAATAAAATATAGGTGAATCACCAGACTGTTCAACACATGTAGCAGAAGCTTGGTTAGAGCTCAACGAGCTCGTTTTACTAGAATCTTCCTCCATAGGTTAAAAATTCTAGTAATATTAAAAAAGTAATTAATTCGAAAGCAAGAACAGAACAGAAGGAAGGACACTAGCCACAGCAAGAATAACGAAAATATCAGAAGCCGCGCGATAAGCAAATTCGCGGTTTATCATTAAGCTTTTAATAACTTATTCTTATGGTTATTTAAAAATATATATTTGATATCATAGGTGTATTTATTTTTTCTTGGTTTGTGTGTAGGATTTTGATTCCAACGGTCCGTCTATTTCTTGGCCAGACTCGCCTCCTAGGTACATATTCAACTTTCCTTTTCTACATAATCTCCATACATTCTCTTATCATCTTTTCTGAAATTTTTTTTTTTTTTATCGTGTGGTAGTCGACTAAAATATTGTCACCTTTATAAGAGTCCTAGGATTTATCCATAAAACTTCATTGTAAAAGCTGTTTCAAAGTAGTATAGCTGCATAAACTTCATTAAAGGTCCATTTTTTATCTCATTCATAATTATACCAATTTATTATTATTATTTTAGATGTCTTCTGTACAGAACACCATTGCTTCACAGAATTCTAATAGCTCTTCGGATAGAAATAATGCATCGAGTACAATCGGGCCCAAAAGAAAGGAAATATATCGTTATGATGCACCTTGGAACATATTTAGCATGAATTGGTCCATTAGATCGGACAAAAGATTCCGCTTGGCTATTGGAAGTTTTATCGAAGAGTACAACAACAAAGTCCAGGTTATTACTTTGGATGAGGATAAGGGGGAATTCGTCCCTCTCTGTACCTTTCCTCATCTTTATCCAACTTCAAAGATAATGTGGATTCCTGATCCTAGAAGTTGCTATCCTGACCTTTTAGCGACTAGCGGGGATTATTTACGTGTTTGGTGTAGTCATGAAAATAACTATGTCCGCCTTGAGTGTCTTTTAAATAACAACAAAAATTCTGATTACTGTGCACCACTCACCTCTTTTGATTGGAACGAGGTTGATCCCAATATAATTGGAACGTCCAGTATAGACACGACATGCACTATATGGGGGCTTGAAGTAAGTCATCTTCATTATGTACCGATTCGTCTTGATGTAAAAATTTGCTTTATGTAAATTCCTTTAATAACTATTGCGTGAAGCGAATATTGTGCAAGTACCCGACACTAGATACGTTTATTTATTATTATGAAACCAGAGTTGTCATAAAACCACTCGGGCTCACTTCCATTTTAAATGAAAGTGTTTGGTGAACAGATTTGAAGGTTTCCCACTACAAAATGGTGGCGTAATTATCTTAGTTATCAAAGCTTCGCACTTTTATCGGGATCGAAGGCGATTGCCTCGGAAGCAGCCTCAACAAGGATGCTTGAGTAAAGCCCATCAACAGCTGGCAAAGAAAACTCTGCCCTCGTTTTCTGGTCAGATCGACCAAACACCTTTACTCGAAATAGAAGTTAGCCCAATAATTATAGACCAATAGTTTCTTCAGAACACCTTTTCTTTGCGCATTAAGCCAGTCAAACATTTTCATTATTCATATAATTTTATAATCATAAACTGCTTGTAAATACGGAAAGTACTTGGGTTTTAGTAAATCTTTTAATATAACTTTGATGAGGAGGCTTTTATTTCGTATGAAATTGCATGATGAAGAGCTTCGTATGCCGATCTCATCAGAAGACGACTGATCCCCGTCGTACTACAGACGTTTGGCTTTAATACACAACGCTTGGGTTAGCGTAGTCCATGAGACATCTTCCTTCAATTTGGTCGAAAGATATTATTATAATTTAAGCCTAAAATTTTTTTTACGAACATTCACAATGATTTGCGATGGAATCTTGCTTGGTTCCAGGCTTGGCGAACGACGACAGCCAAACTTGAGAAACATTCTTAGACCAATCTATCTGGTGTCCTGTGTTATCCATGTGTTCCATCAATTCCGATTTTTGGACCCGCAAACCATTGTGGTCTGCTTTGTGTTCGGATAATCTCTTACGTATATCTACTAGTCTACCAATTAGGCACTACCACATGAGCACAAAATCTTGTAACAGCCCAATCTGGAGAGCGAATCAGGGTATTCTCGAAAAGAAGGCAATACCGAGGAAAATGTTATTTTCTCTTTATAAATGGTCCCGATGTCCCACCTTAGTAATTCGCCTATCTTCCTCCCTAGCAGAAGGCTTCTGGTAGTGATCTACATTTAGCCGAACACATGGCTTGCAGAGGACACCAGATAGATTGGTCTAATGCCAAACGCTTAGCTGGATATGGTGACTATATCTGTAAGCAAAAGATTAAGGAGGCGATAGAAATCAGCAAGACAGCCGACACCCTGAATAGAAGAAATGAGTGTATGAAGTTAGGCAAGAACTATTTGTGGCTGTTGGATAAGTTTAGAGAGAGAGAGGGGGACGAGAAGTACCACCGAGCAAGAGCAGGAGGCTTGATTAGGTTGGAATCTGGTTTGGCCACTCACATCACACTCATTTCAAGAGCAATACACTTACACAACACGCTATAACATGTGGTAGCATTGCAGGATCAAAGGCATACGCGTTTTAAGGTAGGATGCAGCTGTATGGTTTCAATTGCACCAGTTTCACGCTTCATCTGCAGTCACTTTACATCTCATCCGTAGCCACTTAACTTAACTTATGAGTAAACATATTGGCAAAGTACAGAACATCCAACCAAAAGATGGAATGCCTAAGTGGACCAAATTGGATTATAGGAAGGAAGTAGGTTTGAAGCTGGCCACCTTTCTTGTCTCGTGTTTTGGTGAATTATCGTTAAGTATAGTTTCCTGATTTGACGATGTCCATCACATAACAAACTAAAGCCCGGTAAAGACTCATCGAAGTCACAGGGCCTTGTGCTGAGGGCCTATTCGCACAGATCCACAGTCCTAGCTCCAAGGTAATCCCTGTACAGCTTCAGGTGAGGCCAACTTATTAATCCCTTTCACTCCCCTCTTCAAACAAAATGAAAGGTACTCCAACATCAATCAATTAAGGGATCTTTTGAAACTCAATTTTTATACAAAGCTTAGATTGTTTCCTTTAACCAACATAAAAGGAACGTTAGGATCACGATGGAAATATAAGAGAATAGGTCTATATCTTCTTAGATGCTCTAGTTATTAGAGTAGTGTATAAGTTAGGAAGAGATGCTTATAGTAAGCCAACGTTTGTTAGCTCCTGAATTTTTTTCCCAACTAGTTATATAAACTAAGATATGAAGACCAAGATGTTGTGGCCTCTAGTATGTTCGCAGTTTCCTTTCAATTTATAGAAGTGGGTTGACCTCGTCGCAACTTGGTCTTGTTGTCAAGGCGTCTTAGTAGAACGCACCTAGTCCGAAGTCGTCTGCCATAGTAGTTGTCATGATTCCCAGCATCAGACAGTG